AAGCTAGGAAACTATAGCCATTGGCCATCACCTTTGGCCAAGGAAAGGGCCTGGTTAACTGTCTTCAAGGCTCAATCAAGCCTTCATCTGACTGGGGATAGAAATGTGAAGCTGGGGCCAGGAAGTGGCCCATACCTGTAATCTCAGCTACCCGGGAGGCTGAGACAAGAGGGTGGCAAGTTCAGGGCCAGCCTCTGCAACCTAGCAAGACCCTGTCTCAAATTAGAAAATTAAAAGAATTGGTAATGTGGTCAGTGGGGAATCACCCCTGAGTTCCACCCCAGCACAATAAACAAAGAGAGAGACCAAGATTCACCCGACAGACACCCATCTCTGAATGGCCCAGTTTGAGACAGAACCCACTTGGTTCTTGAGGGGTGGGGTGGAGYGTAGACATCAGAAACCAGCCCAGAAAGGGAAAGAATCTGTAGGGCCAGTGAGTCTGGGCTCTGACTGGAGCTGTGTGGAGGCAAGCAGAAAGAGCTCAGTGCCCTGAGTCAGAGAGCAAGAGAGCCTTAGGGTGGCTAATTTTGTGTGTCAACTTGCTAGGCCACAGCACCCAGATATTTGATGAAACACCAGTCTGGCTGTCAATGTGAGGGTATATTTTGGGGGGGGGGATACCAGGGATTGAACTCAGAGGCACTCAACCACTGAGACACCTCCCCAGCCCTATTTTGTATTTTATTTAGAGACAGGGTCTCACCGAGTTGCTTAGTGCCTTGCCATTGTCGAGACTGGCTTTGAACTGATGATCCTCCTGCCTCAGCCTCCCAAGCCACTGGGATTTCAGGTGTGCACCACCACATGTGCACCACCACACCTGGCTACTATAGGATATTTTAAGATGCGATAACATTTAAATCAGACTTTGTATGTGTGGTGCAGGGGATCAAACCCAGGTCGTTGCACATGCTAGGCAAGCGCTCTAGCACTGAGCTACACTCCAACTCCTAAATCAGTAGTCTTTGAGTAAAGTAAACTCTCTTCTCTGAGGGGGAAGAAATAAACCAGTATTTTTTTTCTTTCTACTATCACTTTCAATATAAACTTTACCTCTAGTCACCAAATGTGTACGGTCTCCCCACAAACCAACCAAGCAATTCTCCAGGGTACACCAGCTGGGAGTCCCACAATTCAATTTGATTCTGACACTGTCTGCCTGGAGATGGTTGCAGATCTCAGGTGTGGAAGGCTCAATCCAACAAGCCTGCCCCCACTTCAGGTCCTCTGATGACAAGCTGTAAATCAGAGTTACAGCAAGTCCCTACTTGGGTTCAATTCATTTGCTAGAGTGGCTCCCAGAAGTCAGGGAAATACATTTACCTACTCATTTTATAGGATATTACAAAAGATAGAGCCGGATGGAAGAGATGCATAGGGTATAGCATGGGGGYGGGTGGTGGGGCCTTCTTGGGGCAAGTCATGCCATCCTCTTGGAACCTTCAGATATTCAGCTTTCTGGAAGTTCCTGAATCCAGTCCTTTTGGTTTTGTGTGTTTTTTAATATATTTTTTTAGTTATAGAGGAACACAATATCTTTATTTTATTTATTTTTGTGTTGCTGAGGATGGAACCCAGTGCCTCACATGTGCCAGGCAACTGCTCTACCAATGAGTCACAAATCCCAGCTCCCTTGGGTTTTTAATGGAGGCTTCATTATAATTGATTGCATCCTTGACCCATTTACCGTTGTTGATCAATTCAACCTTCATTCAGTCCCTCTCCCCACTCCCTAGAGGTGGGGAAAGGGATTGAGAGTTCCAAACATCTAATCATATAACTGATCTCCCTGGCAACTCATCCTGGATCCCTGCTATCGAGGAACTCACCAAGACTTTCTCATTAGAACAAAAGATGCACCAGTCACCCAGGAGATTCCAAGGGGTTCAGAAGCTGTGAGTCRGAAGAAGCCAGGCACAGAGACCAAATACATATTTCTTTCTTTCTTTTTTTCTTTTTTTGGCTATGGGGGGGCAGTACCAGGGATTGAACGCAGGAGCACTCAACCACTGAGCCATACCCCCCACCCTATTTTGCATTTTATTTACAGACAGGGTCTCACCGAATTGCTTATTGCCTCACTTTTGCTGAGACTGGCTTTGAACTTGCAGTACTCCTGCCTCAGCCTCCTAAGCCGCTGGGATTACAAGTGTGCGCTACTGCGCCTGGCTGTATTTCTTTTCTTTTTTCTTTTTCTTTCTTTCTTTCTTTTTTTTTTTTTTTTTTTGTAGTTATAGATGGACAGCATGCCTTTATTTTATTTTGTGTGTGTGTGTGTGTGTGTGTGTGTGTGTGTGTGTGTGGTGCTAAGAATCAGAGCCTCACATGTTCCAGGCAAGCATTCTGCCACTGGGCTACAGCCCCAGCCCCAAATACATATTTCTTACTATATCATAGTATCGCACATTTGGCAGTGTGGGTGGGCCTCCTCCAATCCGTTGAAGGTCTTAAGGAAGAAAGGCTGAGGAAAAGGGAATTCTGCTTCCAGGTGGCCTTCACACTTGGACTGCAACCTCAGCTCGTCCTGGGTCTCCTGCCTGCCTGCCTGCCTGSCCTGCACAATTGAGACCTGCCAGCCTCAAGATCACAATTCATAAAAATCATTCTACTAATATCTTTTTTTCTCTCTCTCTCCCTCTCTTTTGGTTCTGCTTCTCTAGAGAATCCTAACAAATCCAACCTCTCCAGGACCCAGAAGGCATAGTGCCCTGCCACTTGGCCTGCAGTAAAGTCACTCAGATCCATCAATTATAGTTATTTACACCAGTCTTTGAATCCCCCATGTTCCTCTCTGCCACAACCAGTCCCTCTCCCCAGCCAGCTGCCTCTGCCCACCTTCTGGACCTTCAATATTGCTTTTCTTGATTTTGACACCTCACCAAGGTCTATTCATTACTTTAAAGTCTCCCTTTAGTCTAGGGGCCTTGAGGACACTTCATAAGTATCTTATTCATTTATTAATAACATGTAATGTGCCTAGCATTGGGCATGATGGTGGGGAGGGGTTGTGGGCAGATGACCAGGAGAATCTCAACAATGGAGATAGTGACTGGGGATTGTGAACACTGCAGATAAAACTCAAATGTTCAAAGGGCTGGGGGTGCATAGGGAGGAAAAGAGAAGACTGTTAGGATAGCAAAAATGGGAGCCACTCTGATACTCGGGCCAACGGTCACCCTGTGGGAACGCAGAATTTTCTTTGCCAGATCTTCCAGAATTAAACAGAATGTGGATTTTACATGAAATCTACCAGTTCACTAAAATTAACCACTAATGTGATTTGAATTGTCATTTTTAAACCCTGAGTAGTTCTAAGAAAACCCACATGCCACCAAATGTGGCTTCTGAGCCTTCTACTTACAAGGTCTGTGCTGAAGGGCTTTCCATTCTCCACTCTTCGTACCTGCGCCTGGTGAAAACCTTTAAGTACCCATGTCTCCCAGGCTTCGTGTCCCTGTGCCTAACACAGCCCCTGGCAGGGAACAGGTGCCTTCTAGGTATTATTGAGCTGCAAAATATGTCTTTTTGGAGGGGAGGAGGTACTGGAAATTGAACTCAGAGGCACTCAACTACTAGCCTCATCCCCAGCCCTATTTTGTATCTTTAATTTAGAGACAGGATCTCAAAGAGTTGCTCAGCTTCTTGCTTTTGCTGAAGGTGGCTTTGAACTCACAATCCTCCTACCTCAGCCTCCTGAGCAGCTGGGATTACAGGCATGTGCACCACATTCTGTGCAAAATATGACTTAAAGGTCGCTCTTTACCCTCACAACCTTGGCACTTTACTGCCCATGAGTCTGGGGTCAAATACCTTATTCTGGCATTCAAAGCCCACCACAGTCTGTCCACCCCTTCCCAAGATTCACAGTGCTCTGTTCCATGGGGGCCCTCCTAATTTGGCCAAAAAGGGAACATTTATCACATATAATTGATTTAGCAGTGGAGGTGCCAGACTTTCCCCAAACCACTCCTCTTTTCAAGAGCCCATGGATCAACTAATCTACAAGCATTAAGTGCCCTCCATGTATGGTAGCTGGTACTGAAATGTTCCAGGCCTTCAGCTTAAATGTGTATGTGTTGGGGAGGCGGCTGTGGGCAGGAGTTYACCACCTTGGGAGGTGATGGTAAGTGGGGACAATCAGTAGGCTGAATAGAGAAATAAATGAAATGATCAAACACTGCAGAGTGCGGGCTTCTCTAACTCCTGCAGATACCATCCAGCCAACAAGGAAWGGCCCGGAATCTCAGTGCCAGTCATAGGTGTCACCCACCCATGAGCCCTCTTTATAGGGAGAAGGAAAAGTACACCTGTGGCCTGGCCCGCAAACGTTCTAACACCTGCGAGGGAGAAGACRAATGATGGGCAAATACGGGAGAGAGACGGAGAGTGCACCGAATTCCACCAGCATCCTCAAATTCAGTTTGCTTCAACTCACTGTCCCAGGCAGGGGGATGTAGAAAATTAAGGAGTGTTCCTTGTAAAACAGATCTCGACGAGGATGGGATTCGAACCCACGCGTGCAAAGCACAATGGATTAGCAGTCCATCGCCTTAACCACTCGGCCACCTCGTCCCACATGCAGTGCTTCTTCCACATTCTCTTATCTCTCATCTCCTCCGCACTTCCGTGTCTCCATCATTCACTTCTTAGTACCAACCTGGTAGGACCCAGGGGAGAGAAACGCTGTAGAAAGGAGCTTTTTAATTTCCTTTTGGCCCACTTCAGCCTGCAACCGCCCCATCTTTCACTAAGCTACAGCCTAGTTCTGCCACAGCTTCCCCTTCCGGAGTCTGGGCGAGAGCGCCTGGATTTCAGGACCCGCTGGACCAGGGGCTGCGCACGGATCCGGAGGGAGCGGTGTGCGTCCCGGGCCGGAGGCAGGCGGCGGGCGGCGGGCAGGTTCGGCTTTTGCAAAGCGCGCGGCGCGGGCGGCGGGTGCAGTAGCTCCTCCTCTCTCGCAGAGGGCGAGCTGGCGCGCGCCGAAGCCCGCAGGCGGACGGCGGGCGGGGCGGTGCGCGGGGCTCGGCTCGCCTCGGCTCGCCTCGGCTCGCCTCGGCGGTGCTCGGCAGGTTGCGGTAAATCCGGGCTTGCGGTCGCTGGCAGAGTCTGCGGCCCGGTGGTCCCTGCTGCGTGTTCCAAGCCCCGAGAACCATGCAGATGTCCTACGCCATCCGGTGCGCCTTCTACCAGCTGCTGCTGGCCGCGCTCATGCTGGTGGCGATGCTTCAGCTACTCTACCTGTCGCTTCTGTCCGGACTGCATGGGCAGGAGGAGCAGGATCAATATTTCGAGTTCTTCCCGCCCTCCCCGAGATCCGTGGACCAGGTGAAGGCTCAGCTCCGCACCGCTTTGGCCTCAGGAGGTGTCCTGGACGTCAGCGGTGATTACCGCGTCTACAGGGGCCTACTGAAGACCACCATGGACCCCAACGATGTGATCCTGGCCACGCATGCCAGCGTGGACAACCTGCTGCACCTGTCCGGCCTGCTGGAGCGCTGGGAGGGTCCGCTGTCCGTGTCAGTGTTCGCGGCTACCAAAGAGGAAGCTCAGCTGGCCACGGTGCTGGCCTACGCGTTGAGCAGCCACTGCCCTGATATGCGCGCCAGGGTCGCCATGCACCTGGTGTGCCCCTCGCGTTATGAGGCAGCAGTGCCTGACCCCCGGGAGCCTGGGGAATTTGCCCTACTGCGCTCCTGCCAGGAGGTCTTCGACAAGCTAGCCAGGGTGGCCCAACCAGGGATTAATTACGCCCTAGGCACCAATGTCTCCTACCCTAATAACCTGCTGAGGAATCTGGCTCGTGAGGGAGCCAATTATGCCCTGGTGATCGACGTGGACATGGTGCCCAGTGAGGGGCTGTGGAGAGGCCTGCGGGAAATGTTGGATCAGAGCAACCAGTGGGGGGGCACCGCACTGGTGGTGCCTGCTTTTGAGATCCGCCGAGCCCGCCGTATGCCCATGAGCAAGACTGAGCTGCTGCAGCTCTACCAGGTGGGCGAGGTCCGGCCCTTCTATTATGGGCTGTGCACACCTTGCCAGGCGCCTACCAACTACTCCCGCTGGGTCAATCTGCCAGAAGAGAGCTTGCTGAGGCCTGCCTACGTGGTGCCTTGGCAGGACCCTTGGGAGCCATTTTACGTGGCTGGAGGCAAGGTGCCCACCTTTGATGAGCGATTTCGGCAGTATGGCTTCAATCGAATCAGCCAGGTACCTAAAAGGGAGAGGGCAAGGGGGATGGGTAAAAGTGGTGGTGGGGTCAGGGATGGAGTGAAGGCAGTAAAGCAGGGGAGATCACAGTTTGGGATGGATAGTGCAGTTTCTAAGATGCCTCCAGAAGGGTGAGGAAGGCCATCTGAGCCCTGGGAACTCAATTAAACTTTGCTGACTCTTCTTTCTCTCTCTCTCTCTCTACAGGCTTGTGAGCTGCACGTGGCAGGGTTTGATTTTGAGGTGCTGAATGAAGGTTTCCTGGTTCATAAGGGCTTCAAAGAAGCCTTGAAGTTCCATCCACAAAAGGAGGTTGAAAATCAGCATAATAAGATCCTTTACCGCCAGTTCAAACAGGAGTTGAAGGCCAAGTACCCCAACTCTCCCCGCCGCTGCTGAGTCCATCCCTCCCCTAGTCTGAGAATTCTCAGCCTTTGGCTCCTCAGGTCGCCCCTCAGGCCTGACTGGGGTAAGAAATGTCACTCCACTTTACAGAGGTAGCTATGGTGTTGGAACACTGGACTTGAATATGGGGTGCTGGGATCAAGTCCTAGCTTTACCACTAACTAGCTGTGTGGCCTTGAGCAAATCCCATTATCTCTCTGAGCTTCAGTTAAGCCATCTGTAAAAAGGGAGGTGAGAATACCTACCTCACAGAACTGTTGGGAGGCTCAGATGAGATGCTATATGTGAAAACATTCTGTAAGCTTCGTACAAATGTGAAGTATTATTAATATTATTACAGTATTATTATTGTTATTATTATTGTTATTATTATTAACAATTTTGGGTGGATGGACAATAGAAGAGTTAAAAGTATGAATGGTGCAGAGTTAAGTTAGAATACTTAATGAAATTGGCCTTTTGGAAAGAAATCGGATGAAAGCATACAGTTTAATTTTTAGCAGAATCCTAAACTTCCTGGTTCTTCCAGGCCTCCATCCTCGGGGGCTCTGGAGGAGGGAAGGGTCCGCAGGCTCTATGAGTGACAATCTGAGATCTGTACCCTCCCATAGGCTGGGCTGGGTTTTTGCTTTCGGATGACAATGTGTAAATAAACGAGTGTTCACACCCACAGCTGGCTTCGTTACTCTCCTGAGCTGGGGCCCCTGGGTTCTCCCTTTACACTTCTGGGGGAGAGGGCCGCGGATCCAGGGACACCTGCAGCAAAGCGAGGAAACCGTTGGGGCCTTCCCAGCTAGCCTAAGGCCTGCGTGAATGTCGGCGGGTTGCTATGGAGACTGGCCCGCGGTATCCCAGCATGCCTCGGCCCCAGCGGTCCAATTGTGAGCTCCCCCGGCGGGCGCCTCCTGATGACTCACACGGAAGCGCCGGCAGGCCCCGCCTCCTGAAGAAGAGGGGTCTGCGCTGCGCTTCCGGGAGCCCGGCGGCTACGGCCAGTACCGGCAAGTTCGGGCACGTTTCAGGGAGCCTCGGAAGTGAGGCCGGAGGCCCCAGTCCCCGCGGTGCGTATCGCCTTGCCCGGTGCCTGGTTTGGCCTCTCTGTTCAGTCGGTCCGAGACGGTACCATTTCCTCCTCTGGAGCCTAAGCAGAGACTTAACCGGCCTGACGCGCGCGGGGCCGTGGGGCCGAAGCCAGCGGCGGAAGAGCCCCCTAGCTATTCTCTGGCCCGCGCCGGCGCATCTGAGGGTAGAACGGGGCGACAGGCTCCCGGAGGAGTGTCTTGAGGTGGCTCTGCGATTGTGGGGAGGGGTCCGTCTTCTCCGGGGGCGTGCCCTCGAGGAGCTTACTGTCTGGAAACTGCTGTTCGCCACGCTTTACGGTGTGCTTTTCCATCCCTTTTGCACCCGGGTTAAGGAGGTGGTGCGGGGTGGGGAGGGGGTTGCGACTTAATTTAACACATTTATAATCACAATAAGCTGGAAGGGAGAGATGCTTCTGAAAGAGACAGTACTGACACAATTTACATACAGTTAATGGTGAAGAGGAATTGCCAGCGTTAGGAACTGAAGCGTAAAAATGAATCAGGTTTGGAGAACCGAGATTTTCAGGTCAGGTTCAGAACCTTGGCGAAATTATTGAGGAATGTGACTGAATTCTCTCGAGGCCAGGCACTAAGCACTGCTTGACTTGGTGTCAAGAAACATTAGCTACCACTACAGGCACCGGGGCTTCCAAGAAGTAAAAACTAATCCCTGCCTGCAAAAGTTTATTTTATGGTTACTTTGTTTTTGAAAATTATCCAGTGGTTAAGTGAGCCAGTACTGCGCTAGGAAGGAGCACAGGAGCTCGTGACCTCGCAGGGCTCCCACATTCACTGGAGAGAGACTTCAGCATGGACAAATAGGAGAAGTAAACACGAAGGCTTCCTGGAGGCAGTGGTGTCTACATCATTCTAAAGGCTTACAGAGCAGCCACCAGAGAAGTTGGAAGAACATCACACTGAAATAGAAGGCCCTGGGTGGCAGAAATGATCTGTGGAGAGGAATGTTTAGTTCTTAGGCCATCTCTTGGCAGCATTGGGCACTATCACTGCACCTTCCTTTTGAAATATTCCATGATTTTTGGTTTTTCCTTCTCTGCTGATCCTGAGGATTTTATCACAGGTCCCTTCTCACTCCCCACATTCTTTCTGCCTTGCTGGTTGCATCCTCCTGTGGACTGAGGAACTTTGTATATGCTGATGATTGAATCTCTGTAGCCCAGGTCTTGAGGTTCAGAGCCTAGTTGTACCTCCCAACCCTTCTCTCATTTCTGGGTCTTTGCATTTGCTACTCACTCTGCTGGAATGTTCCCTCTCTGTCAGCACAATACCCTACCCTATCTGTTCTGTTTTCCTCTGGAAGCCCTGGCTATAGCAAGCTCCAGATTCTGGCTAGATACCCCTCCTATACACCCCAGTGTTWAACGCTCCTCATACTGTAGTTACTGTTCCTTTGCCCCCTCTCACAGGAACTCGTAAGCTTCTTGAGGTCAAAAAGTGTGTCAGAGTTGTACTACTACAGTAGCTGATGGTACCTAAAATATCTTAGGTGCTCAGTAAATACTAGATGAATGAGTAAAAGAAGGAATGCTTGTCAGGGTTCCTGAAAGGTCAACATAGATAACCACTGAACAATATTGGCATTAGCCAAAAGGGCTCATTGGTTAACTCTACAGGGTCAGTTTCAGTGAGAGCAATGGGTATAGAAACAGATCAAAGGAGTGAGAGATAAAGTAGGAAGAGCAAGTATGCATATGCCTGGAAATATATAGCTATGAAATGGATGATGCAGTGGTTAAGTTGGTGTGGTTAAGGTTAAGGGTTAGTGTTTGTTTGCAGTGTTAGAGATGGAGCCCAGGGCTCCGTGCATACTGCAAAGACTCTTCCACTTAGTTACACCCCTAAACCCCTCTGCTTTTTCTTAATGGTAGAGTATACCTGAGCACATCAGAAATTCTATGGGAAGGATCCTGCCATCTTGGTCTGTTTTGTGCTGCTATAACAATACCTGAGGACTGGTGATGTGGCTCAGTGGTAGAGCTTTTGCTTAGCAAAAACAAGGTCCTGTGTTCAATGTCCAGCACTGCCACACATGTAAAAAAGGAAAAAAAGAAAACAGTAATACCTGAGACAGGGTCATTTTTAAAGAACAGAGATTTATTTCKTAGGATTCTGGAGACTAAGGAATCTTTCCTTCGGGAAGGTCTCTCAGCACTCTTGCATTGGGGATTAAGTTTCCTGCAGGTGAACTTTGGGAGACAAAGTATCTGCCAGAAACTGAAGACACAGGGGAGCACTGAGGTCCCAGAGGAAACGAGAGATGGGATTTGACCCAGAGACCAGCAAAAGACAAAAGATTGTAGAGTGTTATCAGGAAGAGAAAGCAGCTGAGGGAGTCATAGAGGAACTATATGGGCAGTGGGAGGGAGAGAAGTGGGAGTGTGAGAACTGGCCATTAGATGAGGTGAAGGAACTGGATTGGTAGTTCAAGTTCAGTCCATGAAGGGCCTTGAAAGCTCCAGTCAGAAGGTTTGGGAGTCTCAGCAGTGGGAAACCTGCCGTGGGCCTCTCCCCTAAATGGATCACACCCTTCGCCAGTATTATAATTGGGGTTGTCCTCAACATCCAAGGGCAAGAGGATTTTCAGTCTCCTGCAAAAGGTACAAATGCCACCYAGTGTAATGCTCATGTGGTAGAGCCAGTCACTGCTCCCCACCCATGTCTCCCTTGGGGGTCAGTGGAGCTCGACTCCCTGCTTGCCTCTGTGCTGCTCTGAGCTATAGGCACTAGTGAGTGATGCTTCACTTCCTCCTGCTTCCAGAGCCCAGATGCCTGTCCAGCCTCCGAGTAAAGACACAGAAGAGATGGAAGCAGAGGGTGATTCCACCACTGAGATGAATGGGGAGGAAGAAGAGAGTGAGGAGGAGCACAGCGGCAGCCAGACCGAGTCTGAGGAGGAGAGCTCAGGTGAGCCCCCACACACAGGTGCACTTGTGCACACAGGAGTAGCCGCCCACCCCTCCAGAGCCGGCCCTGACTGGCCTCTTTCCCAGAGATGGATGACGAGGACTATGAGCGGCGTCGCAGTGAGTGCGTCAATGAGATGCTGGACCTGGAGAAGCAGTTCTCAGAGCTAAAGGAGAAGTGAGTATGGGCTCACCTCCGGCTGGGCTGATGCACCTGGGGGTGAGGAGCTAGTGGGGCTGATGCTGACGTCCAGAGTAACAAGCACCCAGCAAGCGGCCTGTGGGGAGCAGTGTTTGCCCRAGAGTGATGGTGCCCATGGGAGGAGCCAGTGGTACTCAGCTGCCTTTCACCTCCCAGGTTGTTCCGAGAGCGGCTGAGTCAGCTACGGTTGCGGCTTGAGGAGGTGGGGGCTGAGAGAGCCCCTGAATACACAGAACCTCTTGGGGGGTTGCAGCGGAGCCTCAAGATTCGCATTCAGGTGGCAGGTCTGTGGTCATCCTGTGCTGTTCCCCTCCTGGAACCCACAGCTTTCCGTCCCCCTCTGCTCTCGACCCTGCCCTGCCTCACCTTGTTCTAGTAGCCAAGCAGAGCCTGTCTCCCTCCTTCTACAGGGATCTACAAGGGCTTCTGCCTGGACGTGATCAGGAATAAGTACGAGTGTGAGCTTCAGGGGGCCAGACAGCACCTGGAGGTGAGCCGACTGTCTGCCAGTGGACGATGGGCAAGGCCAAGGGCCTAACTGGGCCACCTGGTTCCACCTGGTTGAGCAGCTGTGCCTTTTCCAGAGCGAGAGGCTCCTGCTCTATGACACGCTGCAGGGGGAGCTGCAGGAGCGGATCCAGAGGCTGGAGGAGGACCGCCAGAGTCTGGACATCAGTTCTGGTGAGGGCGGGGCCCAGCTCTGCCAGTGCCCACCCCTCCGGACCTCAGCTTTCCTGGCTGCACAAGGGAGGGTCTGAGGGCCTGCGTCTTGGGCGTGAGTGAGACCAGGCCTGGAAGGGCATAGCCCAGTGTCTGGCATAGTGGTGGCTCAGGCAGAGTGGGCCCCCTTTACCCCTTTCCAAAATGGGGAGTTGTAACTGACATGCCAACATATACAGTGGCCACAGTCCCCTCCACATCCATGGCACCTGTGTTCATAGGGGTCTTGAAGAGGTGAGAGTTGTCTTCGTTGTGCTCTCTACTAAACACATAGTTAACTGAGGCTCACTGAAGGGCCGTGGCTTCTTCCCCAAGCCCCACCATTGTTCARTCAGGACCTAAGCAGCCCTAAGGGGATCCTAGCCCCAAGCCCAGGGTTAAGTCCTTGGGTGGTGATGGGGAAGGATGGGGAGGCYGGGCTGGCCCATGGGGGGACACAGAGGCCACAGGGGTGGAAGTGGCCTAGGGACCTTCACCCTGATCCTGACTCTGGGTCTGCGGGCACAGAATGGTGGGATGACAAACTGCACGCCAAAGGTGGCTCAAAGACCTGGGACTCGCTGCCACCCAGCAAGAGGAAGAAAGCACCTCTCGTCTCTGGTATCCTTCCACCCAAGGTGGCCTAAAACTGGACAGAATGGCAGGCAGGCTCCAGATTCCGGAAAGGGGACTGGAGGGGACATGAGAGACAGTGGGACTAGATACATAGATGGTTCAGTGTCATGTGATCGTGCCCAGGCCAGTCCAGGAACTTCGTAGGGAATACTGGGTATTCCCTGCCTATATGGACCCTAGAGAAATAGAAAGCTCACCTCAGTGACTGCCCATAACTTCTGAGTGAGGATGAGCCTTTGAGCCCCTGGCGCTCTCTACATGCCAAGTGTGGGCCCCAGTAGTCTGGGCTTTCCTGCCCCAGCCCTGCTGCCTCCCACTCGGAGGTTATGCCTGTCCCTGCCTTCTTAGTGTCATTGCACAGGCTGCCTCTTCTGTGAAGCTTCTGGTCTCCCTGTGCTTGTGGCGTCTTTGCGACCACGTCCTGTCTCCAGGTGCCCATATCCCAGAGGGAACTTGCTGCTTCACCCCTCCTCAGGCAGGAGCCCCAGGCTGGAGCTTGCTGTGTCTTCCACCCACCTGCTCAGGCAGCAGCGATGAGCTGAGTGCCCCTTCCCGTGCAGCCAGAGCCTTTGCCTTGTGGTGATGGAGACAGGGAGGGAGGGACCTGGAAGGTAGTGACTTCCCGGGGAGCCATCGGGGGCTGAATGTGCAGAGACCTCCTGTGTAGAGCACAGGTGAGAGGGGACCACAGGAGTGTACTTTCAGGATGGAAGAGGCCAGAAYTTGCCTTTAGGTGGGGGAAGAGGTCCAACGAGGAGCCAGTTGGTGACATGGCCAGATAGAAAAGAAGGAGCAGGGTCCCCTYAGTACTGTCCACACACCTCTTATCCTGAGCATTGTATAGGTGGCACTACCACCTCTGGCCTCCCCAGCACAGCCCCCATCACCTGTCCCCTCCAGCAGCTGTCCAGCTTCCTTGACCCTGTCACAGGCCCTTATATCGTGTACATGCTGCAGGAGATTGATATTCTCGAGGACTGGACGGCTATCAAAAAGGTGGGTCCCAGCTGGGGATGGTGGCTTACACCTGTAATCCCAACAATTTGGGAGGCTGAGGCAGGAGGATCTCAAGTTCAAAGCCAGCCTCAGCAAAAAGGGAAACTCAAAGCACTCAGTGAGACCCTGTCTCTAAATAAAATACAAAATAGGGCCAGCCAGGGCTGGGGCTCAGTAGTCAAGTACCCCTGAGTTCAATCCCCAGTGCCAAAAAAAGATGTATCCACTCCTGCTTGAGTTCCCATGCTGCCTCTGACAGGGCCTGCGGCACAGGTCCCCCACTTAGGTGCCGGTATCTGGTATCTGAGAAGTTCTCTGCTCACCCTGGGCACCCCCTGCCTCAGCCCAGGTGCCCTGACATTGCAGCAGCTCATGGTCTTAGTCCAGGCTGCTCTGAAGAGAGGGATGTGCACCCTGTCAGCCCCTTGTTCCAGGCAACTCCATGGAAGAAAAGGAGGGAGGGAGGAAGGGAAGGCCATAGGACTGGCTGTGCCTCTGACAGGAGACCTCCAGACTTTGCCTAGAAAGGGTGTCCTGCTCCCCCTGCTCTGTGCAGCCCCCACCCCTCAGAGGCCTTTATGGAGGGGGGGGCTTGCCAAGCTGGAGGCGGGCTCTSAGGGAGGCTTTTCTTACTACCCAGGCCAGAGCAGCAGTGTCACCTCAGAAGAGAAAAGCAGATGGTAAGAACCTCAGGGTGTCCTGTTTCCCCTTCCCATCCTGTCCCCACACCTGCCTCCAGCAAAAGAGCCAGAGAGAAGACATTGGCTGTGTCAATCAGTGGCCTGATCTAGGACTGAGAAGTGTGTGTAGCAGGAACCAGGATGGGGAGTCTCTGGGTTGATGGAGCGAGGTGGATTGGAGGCCCCAGCCTAGATGGGCCAGGGTGGGCCAAAGCCCCTTGTATGAGGGCTCCCAGAGAGAGGCACCCAGTATCCTGAAAGAAGTGGCCGCCTCCTTTGCAGTTTAACTTCCTCTCAGTGATTTTCCCCTTCCCACAACCCCCAGGACCATGACTCTGCTGTTCACAGCCAAGGGTCCCTCGGAGCAGCTGGCATCACACCCAGGATTCACATTTTCCAGCAGACAGGCAGACAAGCTCCTGGGGCTGCACAGACCACTCTCCAGTGTTACTGCTGGGCCCCACTCTGCCCTCCTCAGAGCCTGCACAGCTGTGGCCCCAGAGCTGACCTGGCCAGGCAAGACTGTTGTCTCCATCTCTGACCACCTCTCCCTCCTGAAGATAAACCTCCTCTGTCCTCCAGCCAAGACGACAGGCCTTCCTAAGCCAAAGCAATACCCCTCCTGCCGACCTCTCCACTGAGCCAGGGAGCTTGGCCCTTGGCATGGAACTGAGCCAGACAAGGGGCTGACATATCATTATATGTTGGGGGCCTGTCCATTCTGGCTGGAGCTGGAGGTGATAGCCAGGCTTCCCAGGTTTTCTCAGGGCTATTCCTGGTGTCTGCCTCCCAGATTTTGAAGACTAGAATTAAAACCTTTGCTGGGACTCTAGTGTGACCTGTGTGTATGATTTACCTTGCAAGGAAATCAGGGCTTCCCTGGGGAGCACCTGAGACAGACTTTCTTCTGGGGCCTTTGGAGTCTGGGGTACAGGCTGGGGGAGGAAGGCAGGCCTGGAGTCAGAAGCCACATGTGGCTCAAGGCAGAGCATGAGAAGCACGCAGCCCCTGGTGGGGAAGGGACTGGTACACGTGCTTAGAGACCAGGTCATGTCTGCACCTGCCCCAGTTGCTTGGCAGATTGGCAAGGCAGGCTGGCAGGGCCTGTGCGTGGGAGGCAGCCGGCAGCAGCACCATGTGCTGTCGACCTCACAGCCACACTCCCCCTGGTTAGCACAGAGTGTCAGAACCACCCCCAGAACCTCAGTTAAGCAAAGGGGTTGGTTTCCATGGAGACACAGCATCCTTTCTCCATGGCAACCTGAAATCCCAAAACCCAAGTTAGACTCAGGAATGAGTCATGTGTGACCAGTAGGGGGTGCTCTCCCACAAGGCTGACCCACAAGGCAGGGACAGATGAGCAACTGACCACAGACTTAAGGTGACCCAAAGGCGAGGCTTGTGCCTATGGGGACTGAGCCAGTCGTGCTTAACCCCTCCCCACCCAGCTGCGCTGGGTGAGGAGGCTGGCAGACTGCAGGAAGCACTGTGCAGAGGTGGTGCCCTGCAGCTGGGGCTCCCAGAGTGCCGCTGGCATGGAAGGGATCCTTGCTTCTTGAACCTGGGACTAGAACAGTGAGCGAGCTGTCACTGGCCAGGAGGAATGGGGCCAGGCAGAGTGGACACACAAGAGTTAATGGTTGGGGTGTGACAGGGCGAACCGCCCTCAGGAAGTGTTACTCACCACCGGGAATGTGCGCGCCTGTGCCTTGGGGGCTGGATTCTCTTCCTGAGTCCCAGAGAAGCCAAAGGAGCTCCCAGCCATGGAAGACGCTGGGCAGCCAGGAACACATCCTCTCAGAGACCCCTGCCGGAGCTTCACTCCCGGGCACCTGGAGAGAGAAAAGTTAGTGGAGTTGGAGGGACAGCCAGGTGGGGCAGGGAGGGATCTGGAGGGGAGGTGGGAACCCCCGAGGGGAAAGGGATGGGCAAAGCCCTCCTCCCCGCCTCCTGCTCAGGTCTGGGTGCCCACCTCCAGGCCAGCCCAGGACCCGCTGTACGACATACCAGACACCAGCCGGGGGCAGACAGGTGGACCCCAGCAGTCGGCGCGCACTGTGAGCCTGCGGGAGCGCCTGCTGCTCACCCGACCCGTGTGGCTACAGCTGCGGGCCAATGCAGCAGCTGCACTGCATGTGCTGAGGACCGAGCCCCCAGGGGTGAGTGTAGGGACTGGCCAGCSGAGACGGGAAAGCGGGGCTGAACACTGAGGTCTTGAGCCACGTGACTGTCCACTCACAGACATTCCTGGTGCGGAAATCGAACACTCGCCAGTGCCAGACTCTGTGTGTGCGGCTACCAGAGGCCAGTGGCCCCTCTTTCGTCTCCAGCCACTACATCCAGGAGAGCTCTGAGGGTAAGAGGGACAGCCCGGCAGGAAGGGGCTGGAGATGGGGGCATGGACCCTTCTCTGGTCTCACTTCTCTCATCCCCCAGGCGTCTCCTTGGAGGGCTCGGATCTCATGTTCCCTGACCTTGTTCAGCTCATCTGTGCCTACTGCCACACCCGGTGAGTCGGCCCACAGACCCTGCTCCCCGGACAGCCTGTCCTCCCCACCCCACTGTAAGATTCCTCCACCTGACTCTGCCCCCCTCTCTGGCCTCAGAGACATTCTTCTCCTCCCGCTCCGGCTCCCCAGAGCCATACACCAGGCAGCCACCCACAAGGAGCTGGAGGCTATCTCCCATCTGGGCATTGGTAAGGGCTCCCTGCACCTGTTGCACAGATGGACAAGCTGAGGCCAGAAGGGGAAGGGAGGGCACCAGAGCCACAGCCTGCCTGTGCCTTTCCTTGGTGGGCACCCTCCCGAGCCTTCTCTGAGACCCCATTGGTTTCTGGTCCCTAGAGTTCTGGAGCTCCTCTCTCAACACCAAAGCTCCGCAGGGCCCACTTGAAGGCCCACCCCTGCCCAGGCTGAAGGCCCGATCCCCTCAGGAGCTGGACCAGGGCACTGGCGCTGCCCTCTGCTTCTTCAACCCCCTGTTCCCAGGAGACCTGGGCCCCACCAAGCGAGAGAGATTCAAGAGGAGCTTCAAAGTGCGGGTGTCCACAGAGACCTCTAGTCCCCTGTCACCACCTGCTGTGCCACCTCCCCCAGTCCCTGTGCTGCCAGGGGCCGACCCCAGTCACACAGAAAGGCTGCCCCCTGGGCGGCTTCTGAGAAGGGAGAGCTCAGTGGGGTACCGTGTGCCTGGAGGCACCAGCCATGTCCTCCCACTCCTGCCCTCCCTCCAGGAGGTGGACTGTGGCTCTCCCAGCAGCTCTGAGGAAGAGGGGCCAGCTGGGTTCAGGGGGAGTCCCATGACATCCCCTGGCCTTGGCCGCCGCAGGCCTCTGCTCCGGTCCATGAGCACTGCTTTCTGCTCCCTGCTGGCTCCGGAGCGGCAGGTGGGCCGAGCAGCTGCAGTGTTGATGCAGGACAGACACACAGCTGTGGGCCAGTTGGTGCAGGACCTACTGACCCAGGTGCGGGCCAGCCCAGAGCCCCAAGAGCTGCAGGGCATCCGCCAGGCACTGAGCCGGGCCCGGGCCATGCTGAGCGCAGAGCTGGGCCCTGAGAAGCTGCTACCGCCAGAGAGGCTGGGTAAGGCCCCAGCCTGGCCTCAAGTTTAGCCCCAGCTCTTCAGAACTCCAGTCCTTCCCCACCGCCCCTCCTCGCCCTGTGCCACCTGGCTCTCTGATAACTGTTCTGCTGCTYGCTGAGCACCCTTGTCTGGGCAACATTCAAGTGAATTCCACCCCCTGCCTCCTGCTCTTCCTGCTCCCCCACAATTCTGTCCCTTCCCCCCTGACCCCTGCCCCTCCTCCCGCAGAACACATCCTGGAGAAGTCCCTGCATCGCTCTGTGCTCAAGCCTCTCCGGCCCATCCTGGCAGCCCGCCTGCGGCGCCGGTTTTCTGCAGATGGCTCCCTTGGCCGCCTGGCTGAGGGCCTCCGCGTGGCCCGAGTGCAAGGCCCTGGAGCCTTCGCGTCCCACCTGAGCCTGCCCTCCCCAGCGGAGACTGAGCAGGTGCGCCAGAAGCTGCTGCAGCTGCTCCGCACCTACTCACCCAGTGCCCAGGTGAAGCGGCTCTTGCAGGCCTGCAAGTTGCTCTACACGGCCCTGAGGACCCACGTGGGTATGGCCCCCTCACTGCCTTGCCCTGTCCTGCCCCCCCCCCTCTGAAGCAGGCCCCCCAGGAGAGCAGCACAACAGGGGAGAAGAACCTGACCCTCCCATCTCAGATGGTGAAACTGAGACCCACAGAGGAGAGCACCCTGCAACCCTCCTTATGGTTGATAGAACACCCCATTTTCTAGGGGCTGGTGCGCTAAGGGGAGGGGTCACTATCTAAGAGAAGGAGAGGACTCTATCCTAAGTTTCTTCTTCCTACGTCCCCACAGGGGAGGGCGCAGGCGCAGATGAATTCCTGCCTCTGCTGAGCCTTGTCTTGGCCCAGTGTGACCTTCCTGACCTCCTGCTAGAAGCCGAGTACATGTCGGAGCTGCTGGAGCCAGCTCTGCTCACTGGAGAGGGTGAGGGCCCTACCTGCCCTTTCAGTGGGCGCAGGGCTAAGGGGCCTTAGCTGTTATATGGGCCCTGGGAAGCAGGGCCAGGGAGAAGGTCACCCCATGCCCAGCCTGAGCTACACTCTGCCCCCTTGTGTCCCAGGTGGCTACTACCTGACCAGCCTGTCGGCCAGTCTGACCCTGCTGAGCAGCCTAGGCCAGGCCCACACCCTCCCCCTCAACCCCTCCCAGGAGCTGCAGCGCTCCCTGAGCCTCTGGGAGCAGCGCCGCCTGCCTTCCACCCTCCACTTCCAGGTAAGAGGCCTGCCACAGGGTCCACATGAAACCCGTGAGCCCAGAGCAACTGTGACAGCACCCAGTCCCCTCTAGTCCTACATCACACTGCAATAGGAGCAGCGCCCTACCTGAATGTCAAAGCCAGCCTTCGAGGGAGGGGTCCCCTGTGCCCAGCACTGGACTGAGTGCTCCAGGCAGCCTCCCTGGATCTTCACAGAAACACTGAAATGGGACCATTATTATCCCCACTTTACAAATGAAGAAACTGAGACTGACGTAGAAAGAAAAGAGACACCCAGCCCCAGCCAGGGCTCTCCTTCCTTTGTCATCAGGCTTCAGGTCTTGAATCCACCTGGGCTCTGGCCTGGGTATCCCYAGAGCTGTCCACTGCCCCATCCTTCACTCTTTCCAGTCTTGCTTGTGAGTACAGACTCTAGCCAAGTCCTGGGTTCATCCCAGTTCCACCATTTCTTGGTTTTGGGGGCTTGGACAAGTTATTCTTTGTGTCTCAATTTTCTCTTCTGTAAAATGGGTCCCCAGGGCTACCATGAGGATTGAAGTGTGTTGGTGCAGGATAAATGCTTAGAGCACAATGTAAGCTCTATCTGAGTGTCCCTTTAGACTCATGAGACTCTGCTGGGCTGGCCTTGCACCTGCAGCCACGACCTACTAGCTCAGCCACACTCCCCCTGCCCCAAACCCCTCTCATTGTTTACAAAGCTTCTGCCAACTGGTTCCACCACTGGGTACATACCACCCGCCCCGTCCCTGTGTAGCCTTCTCTGGAGCCACATACTCACCAGAGAGCGCTGAGTRCTTGTTTTTGCTTCTTTTCCTGCACAGCACCTCCTTCGAGTAGCCTACCAGGATCCTGGCAGCGGTTGTACCTCCAAGACTCTAGCTGTGCCTCCTGGGGCCTCAATTGCCACCCTGAACCAGCTCTGTGCCACTAAGTTTCGAGTCAGCCAGCCAGAGGCTTTTGGCCTATTCTTGTACAAGGAGCAGAACTACCACCGCCTGCAGCCTGGAGCCCTGGCCCACAAGCTTCCCACAGATGGCTATCTGGTCTACCGCCGGGCAGAGCGGCCTGGGACCCCAGGGACTGCAGCAGAGGAGGCAGGCAGTGGGCAGCCAGTGTCAGGTAGCCAGAATGAGGAGAAGRGGGTGCAGGGAGATGAGGATGTGGAAGCCAGAGCCAGCCCCAGGGACAGTGGGGAAGAGTCAGAGACAACTGTTGAGGGAGGAGAGGGTTAGGTCAGGGGGAACCTTCAAGAGCCAGAGGCTGCGGGACCCAAGCAGCAGAGGAGTAGCTAGAAGGGGCCAGAAGCATCACCTGGGGCAGAAGCCTCTGAGCTGGTGGGAAAGACCCTCATAGCCATCAACCCCACCGCGCAAGGCCACAGCCTTCTTGGCAACCCCACCCAGCCATCTCTGGTGTCCGCCACCACCTCTGAGTGGCACTTATCTCCGTGAGCCTATCTGCCGAGGAGCTGGGAGACTGGCCACTTCTGAGTAACTAGAGTAAAGTTGAGGAGGTTTGGGGGATCCCAGACTGTGTTCAAGCACCCTTGCTTCTTGTTCTTCCTCCCCAGCCGCAGGGGTGAGTGTGCCCCACAGGGAACAGATCAATCTGATGCCCAACCTATGGCATGGGGGTGGTTTCCTTGCCTTCTGTGACATAGGCAGGGCTACTGTGGACTCCGGGCCCTGAAAAGCTCCAACTATGCCTGGTGGGGAAGGAGGCAGCAGAATGGCAGCAGAGGACCTGCTTCCCCCAGCCTCAGCATCCTCCTCTGCAAAGTGGGTACACTATTGCTGTCCTGCCCTTCACCCAAAAGAGCTCSAGGGTCCTTAATGGATTGTTTCATTGCAAAGCAGAGCTCTTACTAGGGGAAGGGGGAGGGGAGGTGGGCGTTAGCAGCCTCCACCTGCTCTCAGGTGCCTGCTCCCTGCCAGGCAGGACCCTCTGCTGCACAGGAGTCAGACCCTGGGGAGAAAGTACCCTTGTTCCAATCTTTCCCGAAAATTGGCAGTCCTCCCGGGACTCCAGCATCCCCAGGGAATTGGGCAAGGGCAATAATGCCCACCAGTGGCCCATGCGCTTCCAGGATGGGGTGGAGGGCAGGTGGAGCTTGGAAATCATTTACTCTGCATCAGATCTTTTGGTCCTCACAAAAGCTCTGTGGGCAGGCAGGCTATGTTCTTGCTGGCCCCACTGAGGTGTGGGAAGGCAGCTCCCAAGAGTCACACAGCAAATCAGCCTCAAAAGGAAGCCCAGAAGAGGCTTCAAATGTAAGCAAAGAAAAACCGCTGACCACCAACCACGAGGGGGCGTGCACAACCCAGAGAGCTGCCCAGAGCGGCTAGGATAGCCAAGGGCCATGGAACACAAGCAGTTTGCTTGCCACCATGGAACAGCAACAGCGTGGGGGCTGAAGCTACTGGCCCTCAGGTCCTTCAGAGTTGGGTCTGGGTGAGGCCAGCCTCTCAGTGGCCATTCTTCAGGAAAGGATTGTCCCCAGATGGAGGAGGGCCCCAACCAGTCTCAGAGACACCACCCTGAGGTACTAAGCACAAAGGGACATCAGCCCATGTGTCAGACATGACAACTGGGAAGTAAAAATTGTGGACATTTGCTTTCAGATGATCCAGATATAGCCCAGGTGCAGGGCTTCCAAATTTTTCACTAGGTCCCAGAAGTTCTCCCCGCTTCCAGCTACTTGCTAGTAGGGAGTCTCCCCTTTATTCTGTTGTATGTCCTCCCCCTACCCAACCTCTGGCCCCAGAGCCTTATATTGCTTAGCATGCCGTAGGTGCTCAATAAATGTTGTCCCTTAATTAGAGGTTGATAACTAGGAATGAGGGGCCCTGGGGATACGGGAAGAGAGATTCTGGGAACTAAACACAGGATGTGTCAAGCTCAGTCCCAGAGGAGGGACCTGGAATGTCTGCAGGGGTGCTCAGAGAACCCCCAGGGCCGGATGTGGAAGCGGGTCTCACAGGAACAGTCAGAGGCTTCTGAGCCCCTGACTCTGGACCATTTGCAAGCCCTTCCCATGTTCAGTCCCAGTTCCTGGCCTGGAATTCAGTGATCCTCCAGCAGTGGCTCATGGGAGCACTGCCAGGTCCTGCCTGCATCCTGGGGACTTTTGTTTATCTGATTCTCAGGGGCCCAGGCCACATCAGCATGACCAAGTGTGATGATAGAGGGGCAGGGGCTCCAGGCAGGGTAGGAGATAATAAGCCAGCGTCACCCCTACTTAACAGATAGGAAACAGGCTAGCTTGGGGCATGTGGCTCCTTACAGGACAAAGGACTCAAACACGAGGTTCTCCAACACAGACTCATTTACTCAATACTCAACAGTAATATATTGAGTGTCCTGTGTAGATCAAGCACCAAGCAGCCACAACCCACAAGGAAACGGGTGGAATCTCATCTTCCTCATGCTGTGATCTGGGAGGAAGCAAAGAGCCTGCTGCATTTTAGGGGGTTCTGCACCACCCCTGCCACCAACCACGCTTGTCCTTATAGAAGAGGAAGCCAAGGCTGAGAGGTCATGCACTTTGTCCAATGTCCACTGCTACAGGGCAGGGCTGGGACCCGGAACTGATGTTTGGCTCTGTGGAGAGCAGCAGTCATTTCCTTGCTTGGAAATGTTGCACTTATCACTTCCAAAGTCACCCTAGTTGAATGTGTGAGTGTTTATTGTCTGTCTCCCCCACTAGTGTGCCAGAGCCAAGTTGGCCTTGTTCCCAGCTAACTCTCGGGGGGCCCTAGAACAATGCCTGGGCCGGAATTGGCACTTAGTAAATCTGTRCAGAACAGTGTGGAATGATGGGTCCAGGATGACTCTACTGAAAGGGCTCCTCTGAGTTCCTGGGGTGGCATGTTCTCCCTCACTGCCACCAGGGGGTGTGCACACCTCATTTCCAGCTCCATGCCAGGTATCTTCTAAACGGAGGCCCATACATAGGAGACTCAGCACCCTGGGACCCATGCCCAGCCTGGCACTAGCAGTGGAGTAGGGATCCTGCAAAAGCAGGTCAGGACAGGGATGAGGGAGGGGCCGCCTGTCCCAGGTTCTACAGCCTCATAGGCCAGGAGCCAAGGCCTATGGGATGGCCTGGGAGAGGTGGGGTGGACAGCAGGCACCTGACTCACCTTCAGTACAACATTTAACACCCTGCAGTGACCCATGTTCAACATTTAACTTCTTCTGACCCATGTTAACTCCCACAATTCCACACACAGAGACTCCTGACCCCCATTCCAACAGAGTGTAATACCCATCCACCACAGCAGGCACAAGAKCACCCAGGCACCAGTAGGGCACCCATGAGGACGAGTTGGCATAGAGACCTTAGTGATCAGCTGCACAGGATCTCCTGACACACTCAGACCTACCTGTGCAGAACTGCCACAACACCCACATCACCTGCTCAGATATGGCCACACACACGACTTTGCTACAGCACAGGGCTGCCATTACCTGCAGTCTGAGCCCTGAAAGAGCAAATACCCACACAAACACACAGACACGTGCGCACACACACCATACTTTTTTTTTTTTTTTTTAAACTCTTGAGCATGCCCAAGAGGTCCAAGCCCCTCTCCTGACTAATCTTCCCAGCCCTGGCCCACCCCTGCCTCACTCACCCCCCACCAAACCCGGCCCCTGGCAGACCCTGGGGGGGCTGTGAGTGCTCGGAAGACCCCTGTGAGGGGCGTGGCAACCCCACTGGCCAAGCAGGMGGCAGAAGCCGGCTTCGCTGGGTGGGGAGGCCTGAGCTCATCAGATTCCAGCCGGCCTGATTCACAGGAAGAGCCGGGAGGGTCTGGGAGGGGACAGAGCCCAGGGACTGGGGTTCTGGGGGCCTGGGTGGGCTTTAGGAGAGTCCGGGATCTCGAGCAAGCCTTTCAGTTGGGGTTGGGGTTTCCTGAGGGGGTGCCTGCAGGAGAGCCTGCGAGGCGCGGCTACTGGGAGGGGCTTAGGACCCTGAACTGAGGGCAGGATGAGACAATGGGCCCTGCCCGCCCCACCCAGCCACCAGGCCCCACGCCTTTTCAGCAGCTGGGTGTCTTTAACGGGGTTAGGCCAAGGGCGGGATGGGGGAGCAAGGATAGGGTGACCTTCCCGGCCCATCTGGCCCCTCAGGCTCTCGGGCCGGCAACCCGGGAATGAACTTCAGAGGTCCCAAGGGGCTGGGCCTGCTCAACTTAGTCTGTTGGGGCCCACAGGGTTACAGACCCACGGGGCCCTGCCAGGCATGGATTCTTCCAGAGAGACAGAAGGCCTGGGCTGTACCAGCGCCAGGGATGTTGCTGAGATGGAGCCCTCTGCGCCTGCTACCCCTAGAACTCGGTCTCCCCAGCCAGGCTGATGCTCGGAAGAGCTGGGGGCCCACAGGGCCTAGACCGAGTTGCAGGGTGACAGGAAGAAAGGAYGGGGCTGGGGGCAGGACAAAGGCACAGGAAGTGCCTTTCTTGGAACTCTGCACCAAAATAGCCCATTCTGTTCCTACACTTGGTCTCCAAGTCCCCAGGGGAGGTGTGTGTCACCAAGGAGACCCTCACCAGGGAGGGGCCTGAGTTGACCTCAGTCTGGCTTTTGCCTGTCAGCCATTCAACCCCCACCACGGGCTGCGCTCCACTTTGAAGTCCCAACATAAATATCATGTCTGCTTGGTTCTCCTTCCGGGCCTGGTCAGGCCCCCAGACCTGGCTCCCACCCCAGCCAGCCCTGGGGCTGCAGTGCTGGGAGAGAAGAGAGGCTGGACCACCCAGGGTTGGGGGCAAGCTAGAGACTCTGTGACAGAGACAGAAGGACCCTGGAGACAGAAAACACAGAAAGAGGCAGAGCACCAGGAGACAGTAGACAGGGAGACCCCCAAGACCCACAGGAGAGCTGCAGAGCCAGGCACGGGGGAGAGAAGAAAGGGAGGCGAGACGCTGCAGTCAAAGGGAGAGACACCGAGATGCAGAGATCCTTGGGGACACTGAGGGGGCAGGAGGAGGAGGCATTGACAGGAAGAGAAGGGAAAGTAAGAGCCTTCAGAGAAAGTTCCAGAGGTGAGGGGTTGTGGGAGGCTGGGACTGGGGTAACTGGGGAAGAATGTCGTGGGACCAACCGTCTCATTTGCTCAGGCCTGAGGGGGTTCCTAGGACATGGGGTCTGTAGTGCTGAAATCAGAACGTCCTCAGAAAGCTGGGACAAATTGATCACCCTAGGTGGCAGGCTTAGGAGGGAGGTTCCCTCCCACAGGTAGCCTTGGATCACTAAAGAAGCTTCATCCTTGAGAAGGGCTGTGGACATGCGCAGGGGCAAGTCTAGTTCCTTTTAGCTCTGACATGGGCTCAGGATTCCCTTTCTTTTCTTTTTCTTTTTTTAAAGAGAGAGAGAGAGAGAAAGAGAGAGAGAATTTTAATATTTATTTTTTAGTTTTCGGCGGACACAACATCTTTGTTTGTATGTGGTGCTGAGGACCGAACCCAGTACCTCACACGTGCAAGGCA